AAAGAAGGGTAGCCATGGCACTAGGTATTTGCACGTCAAATTCTTTTCTTATTAAGATGCTTTCCTGAAATGACCCTCTGGGATTTCAGAACTGGTCACCTAATTTTGCTATGGAAACAACATCAATGATGGATCACTTACTTCACCATTTCAGTGACGGTTCAGAAATCTTCATTGAGCACTAACTCTGTTGCAAACTCTGTGCTAGATTCTGGAGATGCAGCTGCCAATCAGCCAGAACCAGTCTCTGGATGCAGTGTGAACCAGCAAGGAGCCTAAACCGGATTCTCAGAATGGAAAAACCTTACCAAACACCACTAGATATATGTACTGCCACATCAGCTTTCAACAGACCCTAATTCCTTTCATGATGACCTAGAGATGGCTTATCCTTGGAACAGACGAAGACCATTCTGAATTGCTCTGAATATGTTTGTATTTAAATATGTCCCAGATAATAAAATAGGAAGAATGCTTCATGTGACCTAAGAGCAGGAGCAAAGCCTTTCTGAAGGGTTTCCTGGCACTCTGGGTCTCAGGCAGGGCCTCTCTGGAGCTGCCTCATCTCCATTTCTTTCTTTCTGGCTGCCTGGGGCTGCACTTTGGCTCCAACTCCATGCGATCTGCTGGGAGCTCTCCCCACAGAGCTCACTTGAGGGATGCTTCTTTTGAGGTAGAAGTTAACCTGGAAGGGAAAAAGCAGAAGCTAGGAGATCCGTTTGAACCATCTTTTGCCATAGTTCCGGTTTCTGAGGGTTGGGTACTAGTTGAGAATTATTATAGCAGTGATCCAGAGAAGCACTGGTGGTGCCATATAGGCCTGGCTAATGTTCCCCCAGAATTGGTATGCAATCACTGGTGATAAATAGGGTGTGACTGGACAAAATTAATATTCATTGATTTTATACATATCAGAGAAAAATTGGCTGAGCATGGTGGCTCATGCCTGTAATCCAAGTACTTTGGAAGGCTGAGGCAGAGGATCACCTGAGATCAGGAGTTCAAGATCAGCCTGGCCAACATGGTGAAACCCTGTCTCTACTAAAAATACAAAGAAATTAGCCAGGCGTGGTGGTACACAACTGTAGTCTCAGCTACTCAGGAAGCTGAGGTGGGAGAATTGCTTGAACCTGGGAGGTGGAGGCTGCAGTGAGCCGAGATTATGCCACTGCACTCTAGCCTGGGTGACAGTGAGACTCCATGTCAAAAATAAAAATTAAAAAGAAAAAATTAGGTCGGGCGTGGTGGCTGTAATCCCTGCACTTTGGGAGGCTGAGGCGGGCAGTTCACCTGAGGTCAGGAGTTAGAGACCAGCCTGGCCAACATGACGAAACCCCGTCCCTACTAAAAATACAAAAATTAGTTGGGCTGGTGGCGCATGCCTAATAGTTCTGGCTACTTGGGAGGCTGAGGCATGAGAATTGCTTGAACTCAGGAGGCAGAAGTTGCAGTAAGCTGAGATCATGCCACTACATTCTAGCCTGGGTGACAAAATGAGACTCCATTTCAAAAGAAACAAAGGAAAAGAAAAGAAAGGAAAAATATCTACACATCAAATCCCAATTTCACCAATATTACCACTTAGGACAAGAGCCATGGCTGACGGCACTGTAATGATCTTCGTGCTGCCTGGGGGACTCACAGGTGCCATGCTCAGGCGTGCCAGCAAGTGTCACCGTGCTTCAGAACCCAACCTTCTGCCATACTTGTTTGATTTTATAGATAGTAGAGATGATAAAGAGTGTTGGTTGGACTCTTATTTATTTTCCTTTTTTTTTTTTTAATTTTAGAGATGGGTTGATATATTGCCCAGGCTGGACTCGAACTCCTGGGTTCGAGGTCTCCCTGCCTCACCCTCCTGAGTAGCTGGGACTACAGGCACATGCCACCACACCCTGCTTGGATTCTTAAACTCGAAATTTCCATGTGCATTAATGCATCCTTTCAAGCGCTGCATTCCAACTTCTCTTCTGGCCACAGCATGCAGACAGATGAAAAGATACTTTTCACTGACAAATGTGGGACATTCTGGGCGTGGAAGAGCCATAGAACTATCCCAGGCTGAAGAGGAAGGAGAGGGAGTGGCACAGTATCCTAACCACACTCCTCTGGGGCAGGCCTGGGCTTTCCCACCCTTGGAACAGCTTGAGTGCTGAAGCCAGCTGGGAGTTAAAAAACATGCCGCTGACTGAGAGGCCTCTCTACGGGGTTATTTCCTGCTCCTTCCACAAAAATTCATAGCCAAGTTTGCTGCTAGTTCCTCCAGGGGTGGGGAGGGGAGAATCAGAGCCAACTGTACTGTCTTATTTACCAGTTCCTGTTTAGTAACACAGGAATCTAGGACAGAAAAAAAGAGGGAGAAGAGAGACAAGAAAATGAGGCAAGGAAAAGGAAAGGAGTGGCGCCATGTGGAAGGCCTTGGGAAAAAGCAAGATATTTTGTTTTATTTTTATTTTGGGCCCAGGAAGATATTTTATTTTTATTTTGAGATAAGGTCTTACTCTGTCATCCAGGCTGGAGTGCAGTGGCGCAATCATGGCTCACTGCAGCCTCCACCTCCTGGGTTCAAGTGATCCTCCCACCTCAGCCTCCCAAGTGGCTGGCACTACACATGCACGCCACCATGCCTGGCTAATTTTTGTACTTTTTTGTAGAGACAGGGTTTTGTCATGTTGCCCAGGCTGGTCTCAAACTCCTGGGCTCAAGTGATCCGCCAGGCTCAGCCTTGCAAAGTAGTACTGGGATTATAGGTGTGAGGCACCACACCAGGCCTGAGATATTTTAAAGCATCTTAATTCTACTGTGGAAACTCTGTAGCAAACAATCTGGTGTTTTGTTTTGTTTTGTTTTCGAGATGGAGTCTTGCTCTGTTGCCCAGGTTGGAGTGCAGTGGTACGATCTCAGCTCACTGCAACCTCTGCCCCCTGAGTTTAGGCAATTCTCCTGCCTCAGCCTCCCAAGTAGCTGGGATTACAGGCATGTGCTAACACACCTGGCTAATTTTTGTATTTTTAGTAGAGACAGGGTTTCGTCATGTTGGCCAGGCTGGTCTCAAATTCCTGACCTCAAGTGACATTACATCCCAGCCTCCCAAAGTGCTAGGATTACAGGCATGAGCCACCACACCTGGCCAATCTTTTTTTCCTTTTTTCTTTCCCAGTCAGATGGATATCTGCTTTAGACTGGGGAGGGAGACAGATTCCTTTGTGATCAATAAACGGATTTTTAGTTGTTACTGTGCCTGGAAATTGTATCCAAATGACAGATTTCTTTTCTACTCTGAGTATATTTGACATAATGATGAGTTATGTTAATTTAAAGAATATGTGAAAAAGGGGGCAAAATCCTTTGAAATCGAGTGTGCTACTCAAGAGGACATGCAGTTGTTTGAATTTGGCATTGAACAGACTTGCTGGTAATGCAAGACTCATACATGTAACTGCCTACCAGTCATTCAATTTTAGGATATAACAAGAAAAAAAGGAAAGAGGACCCCGGATCAGCTAATAGGCTACAGTGAAAGATTTACTCTCTGTTTCCAGCAACTGTAAGGAGAAGTAATTTACATTATTCAGGAGATGGGACTGGGGGAGGAGGAGATGGAAGGAGAAACCATCTGGAAATTCCAGAGGAATTCTCAAAGGATTTAAAGCATAGTTCTTTCCCCTGAGCCTTGTGTTACAATAAGGAGCTACAAACACAGGCTGTACACTTAGTATGAGTTCCTGTAACACATTGGCTAAGAAGGCAGCCGGAGAGCCTGACGTAGGTTCAAATCCTGGCTCCCACCACTTGCTATGTGATATTATGCAAGCTTCTTTTATCTTCTCTAAGCCACAAATGGGGACACTTGCATCTACCTCACAGGGTTGTTGTGAAGGTTAAATGAGACAATGCTAGAAAGCTCTCATAGCATGTCACACATAGTAATTATTCAATAAATAGTAAAAGACAAGCTTGACTTGACTACATCATGTTAATTGGGAAAGGAGGTGGGAGGGTCTACTAAGCTCTAGGGTTGTGTACAGAAGGTATGAGGCGGCCCTAGGAAAGGCTGACTTTTGAGAAACGAGATTGAAGATGGCCTTTAAGTAGGACTGCCTCATTATTTTGTCCTCCTTTGAGAAATCTGGGGATTAGTGTCCGTGATCTCTGAGCTCCTTTAGCTCTGAGGTCCTAATACAATCAAAACTGAAAAGATCCAGGCTGTAAAATCAAAGAAGTTCTCTACTTCTCATCCGATCTATAAAATAAAGCCCTGGAGAGTTGAATCTTGAAGAGTAGCTGGCTCTTTGCAGCATTGAGCGGAAAGCAACAGCAGGCGGATCACCAGAAGGGACTGTACAGCGCCCTCTGGTGGCAGTCCTTGCCGTTGGCACAGAAGAATGTAACTGCCTTTCTCTGTAAAAACTGGTCTTAAAGAATTTATCCGATTTAGTCAGAGCACAGTCTAGGCCGAAGGACCACAGTGGCTCATGACTGTAATCCCAGTGCTTTGAGAGGCCGCGGTGCAAGGATCTCCTGAGGCCAGCAGTTCAAGGCTGCAGTGAGCCATGACTGTACCACTGCACTCCAGCCTGGGCTACACAGAGAAGCCCCTCTCTACAAATAACAACAAAAATTAGGCCGAGTTCGGCAGCTCATGCCTATAATCCCGGCACTTTGGGAGGCCCAGAAGGATGGATCACTTGAGGTCAGGAGTTCAAGACCAGACAGGTCAACATGGTGAAAACCCATCTCTATTAAAAATACAAAAATTAGTCAACCGTGGTGGCACAAGCCTGTAAGTCCCAGCTACTTGGGAGGCTGAGGCAGGAGAATCACTTGAACCTGGGAGGTGGGGATTGCAGTGAGACGAGAACATGCCTTTCACTCCAGCCTGGGCAACAGCATAAGACTCCATCTCAAAAAATAAAAAATAAATAAAATAAATAAAATGGCCGGGTGTGGTGGCTTATACCTGTAATCCTAGCACTTTGGGAGGCTGAGGTGGGCAGATCATCTGAGGTCAGGAGTTCGAGATCAGCCTGCCAACATGGTAAAATCCCATCTCTACTAAAAATACAAAAATTACCTGGGCGTGGTGGTAGGAGCTACTCGGGAGGCTGAGGCAAGAGAATCACTTGAACCCAGGAAGCAGAAGTTGCAGTGAGCTGAGATCGAGCCACTGTACTCCAGCCTGGGCAACAGAGCGAGACTTTGTCTCAAAAAAAAAAAAAATATGTATATATATATTAGTTGGGCATGGTGGCATGTGCCTGTAGTCCCAGATACTTGGGAAGATGAAGCAGAAGATCTCTTGAGTCTGAGGCTGCAGTTAGCCATGATTGTGACACTGCACTCTAGCATGAGGGACAGAGTCACTCCCTGTCTCTATGAAGAAAGAAGAAGAAAAAAGAAAAAAGAAGAAGAGGAGAAGGAAGAGAAAGAGGAAGAGGAGAACCTATCTAACCTACCTTGTTTGACTACAAGTCATAAGACTCTGCCTTGTTTGACTGTAGGTCGTAAGACCCCCTTTTCAGAGAGGGTACTGACCCATACCCAGAAGGAAGAAATGCATGCTCAGAGAGCCCAGAAGAATCTGGACAGACAGGCCTTGCTAGATTTCTTCACTCAGTACATAGCATTAGCTGATATCTTTTTTGTCCAATTGCATTTATACCTAGCTGTATCTAATTTGTTGAACCTAAGCATAAAAATGGACAATCTCCCCTAATCTTTGGGTCTTCATTCTGTAGGCTCCTGTGCATGCACGTTAAATAAATTGGTATACCTTTTCTCTAATTTATCTGCCTTTTGAGAGTTGATTTGGCCCCTACATACCAAAGGCTTTATGTGGTCGTTCTCATTTCAGCCTCTTGTGAAGGAGGCACTGTTATTACCAATTTACTGAGAAAGAAACTGAGAAGGAGAGAGATTAGGTAATTTGTCCAAGGTCTGTGGGCAAATGAGCTGAATATAGAACTAGGCAGTGCTTTGAATTACTATGCTATGTTAAACAGAAGAGGAAAAGCCAAAAGGAAGTGAGGAAGGATACATAGGAGGGCGACAGAACAAAACTTAAGATGTGCGAGCAATTAATCCTTTAAAAAATAGTAAAAGAAGGAAGCTGGGCAAAGATTAGAGGTGTGTAATCACTTAAGATTTTGTAAGGGCCAAGGATGGTGGCTCATGACTGTAATCTCAGCACTTTGGGAGGCTGAGGCGGGCAGATTGCTTGAGCCAAGGAGTTCAAGACCAGCCTGGGCTACACAGTGAAACCCTTTTACTACAAAAAGTAGAAAAATTAGGCGGGCATGGTGGTGTGCACTTATACGCACTCTCATCTACTTGGGATACTGAGGTGGGAGGATTGCTTCAGCCCAGGAGATTGAGGCTGCAGTCAGCCATGATGGCACCACTGCACTCCAGCCTGGGTGACAGAGTGCGACACTGTCCTCCTAAAAAGACTTTATAAGTGACTTTTACAGTGCACCATCAAGCTCAACCTAACTCACCAATGTTGGTTCCGCAGGACCCACGGTCACAGTCTCTGTCTGTGGGTCAAACCCAGGTGCTTTGGCAGTGACAGTGTAGGTACCTGGAAGCAGCAGCCGGAAGTAATCACCTTGGTCACCTGAAAGTCACAAGGATATAACTCAATCTACTGATTAAAAACCTACCCCAGGCTGGGCGCGGTGGCTCACACTTGTAATCCCAGCACTTTGGGAGGCCGAGGTGGGCGGATCACCTGAGGTCAGGAGTTTGAGACCAGCCTGGCCATTATGGTGAAACTCTGTCTCTACTGAAAATACAAAAATTAGCTGGGCATAGTGGTGGGCGCCTGTAATCCCAACTACTCAGGAGGCTGAGGCAGGTGAATCGCTTGAACCTGGGAGGTGGAGGTTGCAGCGAGCTGAGATCGCGCCACTGCACTCCAGCCTGAGCAACAGAGTAAGACTCCATCTCAAAAAAAAAAACAAAAAACAAAAAACAAACCTGCCCCAAAAGGGACCTTGATATAAAAATAAGCCGGGGTTTTTAGCTGACTACGAGCTTTTCTTTTTTAGACGGAGTCTTGCTCTGTCTCCCAGGCTGGAGTGCAGTGGCATGATCTCGGCTCACTGCAGCCTCTGCCTCCCGGGGTCAAGCAATTCTCCTGCCTCAGCCTCCTGAGTAGCTGGGACTACAGGAGCACGCCACTACGCTCAGCTAATTTTTGTAATTTTAGTGGAGATAGGGTTTCACCATATTGGCCAGGCTAATCTTGAACTCCTGACCTCAGGTGATCTGCCTGCCTCAGCCTCCCAAAGTGCTGGGATTACAGGTGTGAGCCACTGTGCCCGTTGGCTTTTCTTTTTTAAAATAAACAAATAAATAAATAGAGTCAGGTTCTCACTGTGTTGCCTAGGCTGGTCTCAAACTCCTGGGCTCAAGTGATCCTCCCGCCTCAGTCTCCCAAAGTGCTAGGATCACAGGCGTGAGCCACCGCACCCAGCCTGGCTTTTCTTTCTTTTCTTTCTTTCTTTCTTTTTCTTTCTTTCCTTCTTTCTTTCCTTCTTTCTTTCTTTCTTTCCTTCCTTCTTTCTTTCTTTCTTTTTCTTTCTTTCCTTCCTCCCTCCCTCCCTCCCTTCTTTCTTTCCTTCCTTTCTTCCTTTCTTTCTTTTTCTTTCTTTCTTTCTTTCTTTCTTTCTCTCTTTCTTTTTCTCTCTTTCTTTCTTTCTTTCTTTCTTCCTTTCCTTTCCTTTCCTTTTCTTTCTTTCTTTCTTTTCTTTTCTTTTCTTTTCTTTTCTTTCGAGACAGAGACTCGCTCTGTTGCCCAGGTTAGAGTGCAGTGGTACGATCCCACCTCCCAGGTTCAAGAGATCCTCCTGCCTCATAGTAGCTGCAATTACAGGCACATAACACCTTGCCTGGCTAATGTTTGCATTTTTAGTAGAGACAGGGTTTCACCATGTTGGCCAGGCTGGTCTCAAACTCCTGACCTCAGGTAATCCACCCGCCTTGTCCTCCCAAAGTGCTGGGATTACAGGCATGAGCCACCGTGCCTGGCCTGTGACTTTTCTTAATAGCATGAAACTAGTAAAGATTTAAATCATTTGTGGGCTATCTTAATGGAAGTATGGGATCAGCCCCTAGGAAGCAGGAGTTTTACTGTGCTCTACACTGAAAGTGTTAAGTGTAATTCTAAACCCTTTAGTTAATAAAAACTTATCTCCAGTAAAGGAACACTAGGAGAAAGGAAATGCTGAAAGGTCTGTGAATGTTTGCCTAATAAAGAAACCACGTGAGACCCCAGTTTTGATATTTGAAAGGCCACTATGAAGAAATGATGTCTATCTAAAGAAATAAGAATAAGATGTATGGGTTTAAATCGCAGGGAGGCAGACCTTACTAGACAGAAATAAAACCTGTTGAGGCGAGATGCGGTGGCTCACGCCTGTAATCCCAGCACTTTGGGAGGTCGAGGCAGGTGGATCACCTGAGGTCAGGAGTTTGATACCAGCCTGGCCAACATGGCAAAACCCTGTCTCTACTAAAAATACAAAAATTAACCAGATGTGGTGGCACATGCCTTTAGTCCCAATTACTTGGGAGGTTGAGGCAGGAGAATTGCTGGAATGCAGGAGGTGGAGGCTGCAGTGAGCCGAGATTGTGTCACTGTACTCCAGCCTGAGTGACAGAGCAAGACTCTGTCTCAAATAAATAAATAAGCAAACAACAAACCTGTTGAGAGAAACAGAGCTACAAAAAAAGGAATGGTCTGCTTTATGAAATTGTGAGCACTCAAGCACAGACTGGATCAGAAGCGTGGAAAAGCTACACAGATGTACAGTGCAAAACCTGCACGACTGAACATGGAGGCCCTGGTTGAACAAAAAGCTGTCAGTGGTGTTGTATGGGTGTAATCTTACATTCAGTGGGAATGCTGGACCAGTAAAGATGCGATTTTGGGAGTCCTGCCTCTGTTTTTGAGACAGGGTCTCATTCTGTTGCCCAGGATAGAGTGCAGCAGGGCTGTCACAGCTCACTGCAAACTTGAACTCCTGGGCTCAAGTGATTTTCCTGCCTCATCCTTTTGAATAACTGGGACTATAGGCACACACCACTGTGCCTGGTTAATTTTGTTATTTTTATTTTTTGTAGAGATGGGGTCTGGCTATGTTGACCAGGACGCTCTTGAACTCTTGACCTCAAGCAATCCACTCAGCTCAGCCTCCCAAAGTGCTGGGATTACAGGTGTGTGGCACTGTGCCCAGTGAGAATCCTATTTTTAATATTTCTTCTATTGGGCTGCGTGCAGTGGCTCACCCCACTACACTCTAGCCTGGGCAACAGAGCAAGACTCTGTCTCAAAGAACCAAAAAAAAAAAAAAAAATTCTTTTATCACCTTCAAAAGTACGGCAAGGGAAAAATAAAATTCAAAAGAAGCCTGTTTTTCTACAACAGGGAAAGAGCATTTTGGCTAATGACTTTCCATCCCTTTAGACTCAATTATGACAGTGTCTTTAAAATTCATTTTATGTATATAGCAATGAATATTTGAAATAATAAAGACAATAAACCTTGAGACAAACAATAATGAGAAAGTCTTTTTTCTGCCCCCTATTAAATAGTGTCTGTAATTTACTTTAAAATACTGCAGCAAAGGCAATGTGTTATTGTACTTGTATTGGATAGTTGAAATGACACCCCAGGGGTTGTCATTTTCTTAACTGCAGACTTGCATCCTGAAGTGGTTAGCAAGTGCTGTATCAGAAAGCCCCCATTCCAGATGCAGCTACTCTGAAGGCTTCAGCTAGCTTTCTCTCTCATCAACACTAGATGCTTTGCTAAGTTACATATGAATGTTTACAATGGGTTTGTTCACTGGTGAAATGAATATATACATATATATATTTTTTTGAGGCAGAGTTTTACTCTGTTGCCCAGGCTGGAGTGCAATGGAGCAATCTTGGTTCACTGCAACCTCAATCTCCAAGGTTCAAGCGATTCTCCTACCTCAGCCTCCTGAGTATCTAGGGCTTCAGGCGCCCACCACCATGCCCAATTAATTTTTTTTTTGAGAGGTGTCTGGCTCTGTCGCCCAGGCTGAAATGCAGCAGCGCAATCTCGGCTCACTGCAACCTCCGCCTCCTGGGTTCAAGCAATTCTCCTGCCTCAGCCTCCTGAGTAGCTAGGGCTTCAGGTGCCCACCACCATGCCCAATTAATTTTTTTTTTTTTTTTTTTCGTAGCGATGGAATTTCACCACGTTGGCCAGGCTAGTCTTGAACTCCTGACCTCAGGTGATCCACCTGCCTTGGCCTCCCAAAGTACTGGGATTACAGGCATGACCCACCATGCCCAGCCTAATAATTTGTTAATTAACATAATGGTTGGTGAAAGTAGGCACTTATTGGAGAAATTAGTGGTGTTTAATATGCTTCGTTGTTGTTGTTGTTGGAGACAGAGTCTCACTCTGTGCCCAGGCTGGAGTGCAATGACATGACTTCGGCTCACTGTAACCTCTGCCTCCCGGGTTCAAGCGATTCTTGTGTCTCAGCCTCCCGAGTAGCTGGGACTATAGGCCACACCACCACACCCTGCTAATTTTTGTAGTTTTAGTAGAGACAGGGGTTTCACCATGTTGGCCAGGCTGGTCTTGAACTTCTGACCTCAAGTATTCCTCTCACCTGGACCTCCAGATACTCAAATCCCAAAGTGTTGGGATTACAGGCGTGAGCCACTGTGCCCAGCAATACATGTTGACTGGCTAGACTGTTTTAGAGACATTCCCACACTTGCTTGGACAGAGCATAAGAATCTAGCAAAAGCCAGGTGTGCACTCCTGGAACCCCAGCACTTTGGGAGGCTGAAGCAGGCAGATCACTTGAGCTCAGAAATTCACAACCAGCCTGGGCAACAAGTCAAAAACCTGTCTCTGTAAAAAATACAAAACAAAAAAATTAGCTGAGCATGGTGGTATGCACTTGTAGTTTCAGCTACTTGGGAGACTGAGGCAGGAGGATTGAGTGAGCCTGGGAGGTCAAGGCTGCGGTGAGCCCTGATTGCACCACTGTTCTGCAGCCCAGGCTTTAGAGTGAGACCCTGTAATCCCAGCTATTTGGGAGGCTGAGGCAGAATTGCTTGAGTTGGAGACCAGCTAGGGCAACATAGTGAAACCTCATCACCTAAAAAAAAAAATAGCGGCCAGGTACAGTGGCTTACATCTGTAATCCCAGCACTTTGGGAGGTCAGGAGTTTGAGACCAGGCTGGCCAACACGGTGAAACCCCATCTCTACTAAAGGTACAAAAATCAGCTGGATGTGGTGGCACATGCCTGTTATCCCAGCTACTCAGGAGGCTGAGACAGGAGAATCCCTTGAACCAGGGAGGCAGAGGTTGCAGTGAGCTGAGATCACACCACTGCACTCCAGCCTGGGCTTTACGTCTAACAAAAAAAAAACAAAATAGAAGAATCTAGCAAGCCCTGAAGAAGGCTGTGCTCATAAGAATGATTCCTATGACTGAGAAACATTTCCTTAAAAAAAGAAAAAAGCAAAAACAGATTAAAAGGATGGTTCCTGAGTTTGGATTCCGAAACAGTCCTATGTCCAGACATTGGGCTAAACAGGCTCTCTGGTTGTCTGGTACTTCACCTTGAGGCTATAGGATTCTGCCTTTAGACGCTACCTTCGCCCTGAATGAACCTTTCAGGTAAGATGCATTGAGATCACTTTAAAGAACAGAAAGCTGAGAGTTCATCTAGCTTAAACAGATTGGAGGAACTGGGAAATGCCTACTTGGTAATAAATATTAGTGCAGTAAAATTCAGGTGAGACTTGCTGATATCAAGGTTGTGGGGAAGGCTGGGTGTGGTGACTCACACCTGTAATCTCCAGCACTTTGGGAGGCTTTTGAGCCCAGGAACTAGAGACCAGCCTGGGCAACATGGTGAAACCCCATCTCCACAAAAAAAACACAAAAAATTAGCGAGGCATGGTGTTACACGCTTGTAGTCTCAGCTATTTTGGAGGCTGAGGTGGGAGGATGGCTTCAGCCCGGGAAGCAGAGGTTGCAGTGAGATCACACCACTGCCCTCCAGCCTGGGTGGCAGAATGAGACTCCTTTTCAAAAAAAAGAAAAAGAAAAAAGAAAAAAAGGTGGGGAGTTAGGCAAATCTCACTTACCCGTAACCATAACCACTGGTAGCTACCGCTATGCATTAAAAGCAAAATAAAACAAAAAACCCTGCAAGCTGTGCATGATCAAACTGGGCTAAGTCAGTTTACAACACCATTCTGCCGTGAGATAATTCTGTGCCCTTCTAGGAGGTTCTGGGTAGCTCTAAGATCCACCTCCACCATCAGTCTTGCCCCACAGTAAGCCTATGATGGAAAGAATCTTGCTAACTTTCCCAGTGGAGGTGTAGGGAAATGCCAAGTCAGCGACAAGGCTATCTGTTTTACAGTCCTCTTTCTACCCAATTTCATACCAATGTGTGAGCTATTAACAGGCTTAAGCCCAGAAAATATCCCTCACAAAATTGTACATGGTAGCGACTCCTGAATGCTGACGAGAAGTTACATTTACATCAGTCTTTCCTGGTCCTGACCTCCCAGGGATCGTGTGCACCAGAAGCAAAAGAGTTTCCATGAAAACATCTTGGTTGTTTGATCTAGCCTCTTAATTTACTGTCTCTGTTTTCCTTACCCTTCTTTCCTCCATCCCCCGACTCCCAGCACCTTTGACACCCCTGCCGGTTTCACTGGCTTACTAACTGGCCCCTTGATTATGCTGAAGATGATGAGGGAGTGAACGCTTCCTTCCTGACCCTAGGCAGTAACCACCTACCTGAAGTGACATCATGGTTAATCCCACTGACAGAAATGACAGCATTAGCAAGGTTATTATAATTCTCATCAAGCACCATTCCCTTGATGCCCTGGTGAACCTGCAGGAACAAGTATATAGTTATGATCATAAAACATTTGTATGGTGTTTTAGAGTCTCAAAGCCCTTTCTCGTATGTTTTTGCATTTTATCTTCACAGAGATGAAGGTAATAGTCCAATTGGTTTCTTTGCCTCTCTCCCTGCCCCAATTAATCTCTTCGCAATTAGAGTGGTCAGAGTGATCCTTCTAAAGCCTGACTCACATCGTGTCACTATTCTATCTACTCAAAACCTAACGCACGCTGAGCAAAAGCTAAGTTCTTGTGATGCTCTGTCTGTAAAGCCACGTGTTAGCTCTCTGAGCCCATCTCCAACCACCTTTCCTCTCCCTTACTTCTGAGATCAGTCCAGCCACATTGGTGTCCTGGCTTTCTGTTTTGTTTTGGTTTTTCAATTTGCTGTGATAGATTGTGATAAAATACACATAAAATAAAATTTACCATTTTAACCATTTTAAGTGTACAGTTCCATGTTATTAATACATTTAGCCGGGCGCAGTGGCTCACACCTGTAATCCCAGAACTTTGGGAGGTTGAGGTGGGCAGATCACCTGAGGTCAGGAATTTGAGACCAGCCTGGCCAACACAGTGAAACCCTGTCTCTACTAGAAATGCAAAAATTAGTCAGGCATGGTGGTGGGTGCCTGTAATCCCAGCTACTCAAGAGGCCGAGACAGGAGAATCGCTTAAACCCAGGAGGTGGAAGTTGCAGTGGGCCGAGATCGTGCCACTGCACTCTAGCCTAGGCGACAGAGCGTGACTCTGTTTAAAAAAAAAAAAAAAAATTGTAATGTTGTGCAACCATTACCACCACCCATCTGCGTAGCTCTTTTTATCTGGAAAACCTGAAACCGGATATCCACTAAACAATGATTCTCCATTCTGCCCTCCCCCAGCCCCTGGCAACCACCATTCTATTAATATTTTCCATCTCTCTAATTTTGACTACTCTAAGTACCTCATATAAGTGGAATAATAGAGTATTTGTCTTTTTGTGGGTGGCTAGTTTCATTTGGCATAATGTCCTCAAGTTTCATCCATGCTGTAGCATGTATCAGAATTTTCTTCCTTTTTAAGGCTGCATAATACTCCACTGTATGGATATACAACATTCGTTTATACAGTCATCCATCAATGAACACTGGGTTGCTGCCACTTTTTGGCTATTGTAAATAATGCTGTTATGAATATGGGTGTGCAAATATCTCTTTGAGGCCCTTATTTCCGTTTTTTTGAATATATACCCAAAAGTGTCATTGCTGGAGCATACAGGAATTCTAATTGTGTGAGGAATTGCCATAACTGTTTTTTATAATGACTGCACCACTTTACATTCTAATCAATTTGAGGTGGGATCTTGCTGTGGTGTTAATTTGCATTTCCCTAATGATTAGTGATGCCGGCATTTTTCATATGCTTCTTGTTGATTTTGTATTTGCTGTTGTGTCCATTTCAAGGAATCCTTTTATCCCTAGATATCTGCATGTTTCTCTCCCTCACCTCCTTGAAATTTTTGTTTAAATGTCACTTCCTCTGTAGGACTTTTTTCATACCATTTTTCTTTTAACATGTTATATAATTTATTGCTTACTGCCTGTTTCTCCTCACTAGAAGGTAAGTTCCATATGGGTGGGTATTTTCTTATTTATTCATAATTCCAAGCATATAGAATAGTTTCTGACAGATAGTTGTGCTTGATAATTTGTTCTTGAGAGGGGTCTTGCTCTGCCGCCCAAGCTGGAGTGCAATGGCATGATCACAGTTCACTGCAGCCCTGACCTCCTGGGCACAAGCGATCCTCTGACCTCATCCTCCTATGTAGCTGGGTCTACAGGAGCACACCACCCTGCTTGGCTAATTTTTTTTTTTTTTTAAAGTAGACGTGGGGTCTAGCTATGTTTCCCAGGCTGGTCTCAAACTACTGAGCTCAAGTGATCCTCCCATCTCAGCTTCCCAAAGTGCTGGGGTTACAGGTATGAACCACCGTGCCTGGCTGCTCAATAATGTTGAAAGAATAAACCTCATTGGAAGAAGCAGCCCAGATCTATTGAACTGAGTCAGAGCAAAAGTCAGACCCAAACCAATGAAACACCTTGCCTGCCACCGAGAAGCACTTTTCCTCTTGCAAACATGAAAGTTAACAAATGAGATTTTACCTCTTCCAGGAACTGGATTAGGGCTTCCCGATTACCCAGCCACTCCCGCTGTAACTCCTCTTGGGGGGGAAACTTGTTGCAACTCAGTTCCAGTGTTATGTCAAAGCAGTTGGTACGGAGATAATTAAAGTCTTGCATTCCTAAGGAAAAGAGGGCAGCAGCAGATTTCCATAACCAGGTTCCCACTCAACGTCCCATCTCATCTCTCTCTCTTTTTAAAATTTTCTATTTATTTGGGAATTACTTTTTTATTTATTTCATTGGCACATAATATGTAGATATTCATGTATATCACATAGTAATATGTGCATATTTATGTGCATATTCAGTGACGTTTCAATACATACACTATATAGTGATCAGATCAGAGTAATTAGCATACCCATCCTCCCATTTATCATTTCTTTGTGTTGGAAACATCCAGCATCTTCTTCATTACCTTCTTTTCCTCATCACCTTCTATTCTATCTCTTGATCTCTCTTTCTTTCTTTCCTCTATAAAACCCTTCCCCAAGTTCCCAGTTCACTGTCTTTCTCTCTCTGCAGTTCCCTCTCTTCATAAATGCCCATTTTGTCATCTTCATCCTTTTATGTTTTTTTCCATTTCATGACTGAATTTTACTTCTTGTCCCTTTTGTCTTTTCCCAAGTCTGCTTATTATCTGCGCCTTACTATCGATTATGCACATGAATTGCTTTTAGGAGAACAGATTTTCTCCTTGAAATACAATGTTCTTCAGACCTGGCAGCTTAGGAATAAGACTAGTATTTTGCTTTTACATCCCTCCTCCTAAGAACATAATATTAATCTGAAAATACCCATGCCAGAAAAACAGACTCCTGAAAAAGCAGAAGACAGCTATATTTTCTTCTTTTTCTATAAAATACTTGCTTGTTCTGATCTTCTACATTATTCAGTTGAATCAATTACTTTTTAATATGTTTCTTATTATTAGGATGGTTGTTTACATTATAATTTCATTTGGGTTAAAAATTATCCATTTTAAAATGTCTGTACTACCCAAGATGATCTACAGATTTAATGCAATCTCTATCAAAATCCCAATAACCTTTGTTGCAAAAATAGAAAACCCACCCTAAAATTTATATGGAATTTTAAGCAACCCTGAATAGCAAAAGTAATCTTGAAAAAGAATAACAAAGTTAGAGACTCACAAATTATCATTTTGAAACTTACCACAAAGCTACAGTAATCAAAACAATGTGGTACTTGTATAAAGACAGGTATATAGATCAATGGAATGGAAGATGGCCCAGAAACCCTTGCATATGCAGTTAAAGGATTTTTGACAAGAATGGCAAGACCAAATGGGGAAAGGATAGTCATGTCAACAAACAGTGCTGGGAAAACTGCGTATCCAAATGCAAAATAATGAAGTTGGAGCCTTATCTAACACCATATACAAATATTAACTCAAGATGAATCAGAGACCTAAACGTAAGACCCAAAACTATAAAACTCTTAGAAGAATACACAGGGCAAAAACTTCATGACCTTGGATTTGGCAATGATTTCCTGGATACCAAATCAAAGACACAGGAAACAAAAGAAAAAAATCACAGATTAGGTTTCATGAAAATAGAAAAATTTTGTTCATCAAAAGACAGCAACTCTGGGACAGAATAGGTGATGACAGAATCAAACAAACAAACAAACACAATGTCAACAGAGTAAAAAGGCAATCATGAAATGGAAAAAATATTTGTGATTCATATATCTGATAAACATTAATATCCAGAATACACGGAGAACTCCTAAAACACAGCAATAACAACCAAAAACCCCCAAACAACTTGATTTTCAAAATTGGCAAAGGACTTGAATAGACATTTCTCCAAAGAAGGTATATAAATGGGCAATAAGTACATGAAAAGATGCTCAATATCACTAATCATTAGAGAAATGCAAATCAAACTACCATGAGATACTATCTTGCACTTATTAGGATAGCTGCTATCAAAAAGACAAAGTAAGAGTTGGTGAGGATGTGGAGAAATTGGAACTCCTGCGCACGGGTGGTGTTTTCTATGGAAAACAATATGGAAGTTCCTCAAAAAATTAAAAATAGAACTACCTTACGTCCAATAATTCCAGTTCTGGTTTTATATATCCAAAAGCACAGAAATCAGAGTCTCAAAGAGATATTTGCACATCCATGTTTGTAGCACCATTATTTATAACAGCTAAAATGCGAAAGCAACCCAAGTGTCCATTGGTGGAAAAATGAGAAACAAAATGTGGTATAAACATACAATGGAATATTGTTCAGCCTTAAATGTAAGGAAATTCTGACAAACACTATAACACGGATGAACTCTGGGGACATTATGGTAAGTGAAATAAGGCATTCACAAAAAAAAACAAATACCGCGTGATCCCATTTGTATGAGGTACTCAGTGCAGTCAAAATCATAAAGACAAAAAGTAGAATGGTGGTTGCTAGGGGCTGGGGGATGGGAAGTGGGGAGTTATTGTTTAATGGGTATAGAGTTTCAGTTTTACAAGATGAGAAGAGCTCTGGAGATGAGTGCTGATGATGATTGTACAACATTACAAATGTACTTAATAACACTGAATCATATGCTTAAAAACTATTACAATGGTAAATTTTACATTATGTGCATTTTACCACAATAAAGATGAAAAAAATTATCACTTACTTTTTAAGCTGATGAGTGCAAGCAGCTGTTACAGAAAGAATGGGGAAAGTTGAAGAATAATAACTACAGTCTATTAAATTGGCTCTCTCCGAACAGTATGGAGGTTCCTCAAAAAACCAAAAACAGAACTACCCGTTGATTCAGCAATCTTATTGCTGGGTATATGCCCCAAATAAAGGAAATCAACCTATTGAAGAGTTATCTCCACTCCCATGTTTGTTGCAGCACTGTTCACAACAGCCCAGATTTAGAAGCAACCTAAGTGTCCATCAACAGATGAATGAATAAAGAAACTATGGCACATATACACGATGGAGTACTATTCCATCATTAAAAAAATAAGATCCTGCTATCTGCGAAAACAAGGATGAAGCCAGGCACAGAAAACAGACTTTGCATGTTCTTACTCATTCAAGCTAAAAATTTAAATAATTGAACTCAAGAAAATAGAGAAGAAGGATGGTTACCAGAGGCTGGGAAGGATGGAGGGAGTGGGAAGAATGGGGATGGTGCATGGATACAAAAAAATTGAAAGAATGAAAGATAGCACAAAAGGGTGACTACCGCCAGCAATAATTTGCTGTACCTTTTAGAATAACTGAGGGAGGCCTGGCGCGGTGGCTCACGCCTGTAATCCCAGCACTTTGGGAGGCCGAGGCGGGTGGATCATGAGGTCAAGAGATCGAGACCATCCTGGTCAACATGGTGAAACCCCGTCTCTACTAAAAAT